GGGGTGGGGCAGAAACGGGAAACATCTACTCTACAAGGCCATGGTGTAATTAAGGTTATAAATACTGGTTTAGCATAAAGCGCATAGTAATAGCAGTCATAGAGATGACTTAGTTTATTCCTCAAATCGTGGTAAAGTATAGTCCTTTTTAAAAAAGATTTATTTTTTAGAGACAAGGGGAGGGAGGAGAGGGAGTGAAACATTGATGTGAGGGAGAAACATCCATTGGCTGCCTCTTGTATGGGCCCCAGATGGGAACCAAATCCACAGCCCAGGCATGTGCCCTGATCGGGAATCAAACCCGGGACCCATCAGTTTGCAGGACAGTGCCCTACCAACTGAGCCACACTGTTTAGGGCTAAAGTGCAGTCTTTTTATGCACATTATGTTTACAATTGATTGTTGTTGAAGTCAAGGGTGACTTTAGAAAATGTGGAAAATACAGAAAAGTAGAGGGAAGTGTAAACTCACCCATAGTTCCATTGTCTAAATATTACTGCTGCTAACATTTTGGTGTATTTCCTTTCTGCATCTTCAGTGCATACTTGTTTATTTTTTTACACAGTTGTGATCATTAGTTAATATCTTTTCATTTTAAGGTAGTCTGTATTTTTCAATGGAAATATTAGTAGCTTTTTAAAATTATGTAAATAAAATAGAAAATTACAAACCTTAATGAATAGGAGTTAGTCAAGATCATGAATAAATTTAAAAAATACTAGAAAAGAAGGCCCAATAAAAAACTGTTGGTCATCATCCTCCAGTTTCCCTCTACAATAGCCATGGAAATACATGAATAGAAAAACATTCCTTTCTCCCTAAACGTGAGCCGCCATATTCCAGGCACAGGGGAGAGCCCTGGGGCTGGGTCTTCCTGGGGCCGACAGTGCAGCCAGGGGGTGGTTTCAGTTCCACAAGTTACAAGTGAGAATTAATAGCACAAAACATGCAGGGGAATGTATTCTAAGGACAACACAGAAGGGACTAGGTGGGGAGTGGGGTGCATTAATCCTGAAGTAAAATTTTACTTATAGAGAAGATTCGTTTGAGTCCAAAGAGCTCAACCTATAATCACAACCTCTCTCCTGCCAATTGGTAAATTAGTCCCTAGTGCATCTGATTGTTGAATGAATGAAAGAATTAGTGCTGGATGGTTTGAGTTCTGTCTCTTTCTGAAGGGTACAAGTTATTGCATTACAGTGCTGCGTGTGAAGGGGCTGTTTCTATAGTGAAGGAAAACAAACAAACAAACAAACAAACAAACAAACTTGTTAACGCAAACCTGAGAACTGCTTCTGGCTGTCCTCTTGTTGGTGAGCCAGAGCCCCAGAGTGGCATCTCTCCTGACCTGGGGTGAGGCTCTTGAGCCTGAAGAGTCAAGTGTGCTTGTAGTTCAGGAAGGGAAGCTGCAGTCAACTGGCTGCTAGGGATCCGACTGGCCCTCAAGGGGACTCTGAGGTGGTTGAAGATAATTGCTACATTCTTACTTTCCAACACTGGCTTGGATATATTTTACTTTAAGGTTGATTTTAAAATACAGTAACAGACCTGTGGAAACATCTGCAGTGCATGAGTAGTTTTTTCAACATGTGGAGGCAAAAACCTTTCATGTGTATGGCAGGAAACAAAGTTTTCTTCAACTGCTGCGCAGTGTCTAAGTGTTAAATGGGGTTTCAGAGTTGAGAGAAGAATCAATCAGTTTACGTTAGAAATGGGTACATAAGAACCTAACTCATAAGAGGAAAATTCAGATATTCATTGAACACTGTAAAAATAATTAATAATCACAGCACTTGTAATTGATGACATAGAGTTGTCCTTGGGAGCCACCCCTAGAATTCAGAGAGCTGAAAATGAACTGGGAGGCCCTAGGATTGCACAGGAGGAGAGGGCACTGTATTTGATGTAAAGCATCACAAGGGGATTATAGCCACTTTTTCTGTTAAAATGTTTAAAGTTTTAAGACCAACAAAAAGCTTGGAAACAAAACAAACCCCCAAAAGTTATCTTCAAGGAAACAAGACATTAGCCTCTGTCTTTCCTGCAGCACAGAATTCCTTCCAGAAGACAAAAGGGTAAAGGAGGGAAATAATGTAGAACTTCAAGTTAGAAGGGTAGTAACCTACAAGTCCGTTACTCAGCTGTGGCATTGTGCGTAGGTGAAGGTAAGAAGGTCTCAGAAGTGGTGCTGGCTGAGAGAAGGGAGTAGGGAAGCAGAATTTAAAATGTTCATCATGAACAGTTCAAAGCTTTAAGATTGGGTGGGAAGGGCCGTGGTAAAAATCCTGCAGCAAGCACATCATTTGTTGATGCCACTAGTCGAAGACCACCAAGGCACAGCGATAGTCAAGACTATTTTTACTGGGGCTTATTGCCGCCACAGAGACCACACCCCTTGGTGCCTCTCAGTACAAAGGTGTAAGGAGCGATTTGTTGAAGAATTTGAGCGCGTGTAGGTAATTTTTAGGAAGGCACAAGTGAGCGAGGCTCACTTCTGGATTGGATGCTGTCAGAAGGTGGGAGTGATTCCACAACTGGGTTTCAGTTTTTATCTAGGAGGTAGAATAGAAATGGGACAAGGTAAAGCAAGCCGCAGCAGTTGCTGGTGCTAGCCACAAGAGGGGGCTACCTAGTCATTTTTTGGTTTGTACGTTGACTTTTGGTCTATCTTCATCAGGATCACAGAGCAGAGATCGGGGAATGTTAATGTTTAATAGGCGAGTGCTGCGGCCGAGCTGCAAGTGCCAGGCCAGCTTTTAGTCCCCAGAAGGCCCCTTTTTGCTCTCACATTGAACCCACTTAAATGTGCAGAAGTAAGTTAATAGTATAAAACAAAATAATGAAACAGGTCAATTAAATTACACCTCAAACAACATGAAAAAGACAAACTCAAATAGGACAGACAGGGAATGATGTGCTATTTACAAAAGATATGCCTAAAATAAAACCTTTTTCAGGAAAAAAGGCACAGATGTGTCATGGAAGTGAAAATACCATGGGTTGGGTGTCTGCCGCGGGCCCGGCAGTTTTCACACAGTAGTTTATTTAATACGACACTTTTATCATTATAGGAGGCAGGCATTCTTCACTTCAGCCTATAGATAAGAAAACAAGTTCAGAGAGGGTTAATAAAAACAACAAGTGAATCACAGATCCATGATTTAAATTTGTATTTAAGTCTGACTGGGAGGCATGTTCACTATGCTACACTGCTTCTCCAGAAACCAAGAATGACCGTTAGGGCTGCACTAGGAATTTAAAGCCAGCAAACCAAACGGCCTTGACTGTGACCATGAGAACCATTTTGTACTGATAAGAGGTACAATCAATCATGAGTGCAAAAATAAAATTTAGTACCAAATAATGTTAAAATTCATAATGAAAATTTACTAGGAATTTTAAAAAATACATAAATACAGTTACTAAGGGAGTCTCAACAGCACTGCCTTACAGACCATGGGAACAGAGAAGGCATAGAGGACTTGAGTAACATAACCAAGCAGAAAGGAGGAACATACATGCAAAGAGAATACAGGTGTAAGTCACGTTTCCCTCAAGAATTTGATAACGAGGTAAATGGTACTGCTCCTGGGGGTTTACACTGTGAAGGCGACTCAGTGGATCAGACCACAGAACGGAGTTATCTTCCAGCTTTAGAACGTCTCGAACAGATGAAGTTTCCCTTCCTGTCCTGCAGATGCTGGAGGCGTTGGTTATGGAATATAAAATGGCTGGAGGAAATATTTAAGTCTTTAATATCTAAATAAGCAAAAGGTAGAAATATGAATAAGCAAGAATAGACTATAAAAATAGTAAGTCTAAAATCAACCAAATATGTCTTAAACATGAAAAATATAAAAGTGAAACTAAAAACTGATATTTCAGTGAAACATTTGTTACAACTAAAAAAATTAGTGACACAACTATATAGTATATATATGTGCAAATATGTAATGTAATATATAATACACATATAATATAAAGTAGAACCAGTATAACCTCAAATATTTTTATTATCAACATATATTAAAATAAATGATCTAAACATTTAACTAAAAAGCCTAGAAAAGATACAGCTGTCTGCCTGGGGGTCCGAGCTTACTCTTTTCTGTTGGGCTGTTCACTTCTCTTACCAATTTGTAGAACTTCTTGCATGCTTGATGGATGTGAATCTTGCGTGTCTTTTATCTCACACATATTTTCAGTTTGTATCTTCATCTGCATGGTATGTTCAGGAAGGTGGGGCTGCCTCAGCAGCCCTGTGTTCAGGATGGAGAGGTCCTTTGGAGAGAAGTCAGCAAGGCAGAGAAGCCGGTGGGCTGTGGGAAACAGGGTCTGTGCCCAGTCACCTCTGCAGGGTGCGGGGCAGAGACACATTGAAGAAAAAGCACATGGTTTAGAGACAAAGGGATCGAAGTTCATCCTTGACTGATTACGATGCAATCACGGACAAGTTAACCTCTCTGAGGCTCAGTTTTTTCTACAAAATTGGGCAGGTTAATCACACTTGCTTTATAGAAGAGTATCGTGTGGAATAAATGAGTAAATACATGGGAAGGACTTGCTTCAGGGCCTGGCGTTTAATCACCATTTGAGTCATGTACTTTACAGTGTGAGCCCAATCACATGAAACACACACAAGTCTTCTAAGAATTTATTTTTATTTATTTATTTTTAAAGATTTTATTTATTTACTTTTAGAGAGAGGGGAAGGGAGGGAGAAGGAGAGGGAGAGGAACAGGAGAAATACATAGATCAGCTGCCTTTCGCATGCCCACAGCTGGGGACCTGGCCTACAGTTGAAAAGGTGACCCTTCCATTCACAGGCCAGCACTCAGTCCACGGAGCCACACCAGCCAGAGTGCCTTCTAAGAATTCCGAAGGACCATGAACACGTAAGCTGATACCAGTTTAACACATTGGCCATTTCTCATAATGTACTCGAAGTCTGTGAAATACTTGAGAACTCCATTCAGAGTTTGGAGACCAGAATACTTGAGTGTCAGGCCACCTCCCGGTTCACTGACTGGTGCGGGGGCTGGCCCCGAGGAGGAGGTAACTCCGGAGAAGCGCAAGAGTGGGGATAACCTAAGTGACCAGCCGTCAAGGAGAACGTCAGGAGTTTGTCAGGAGTTTGCTTACTATGGCTGGAACGAAGACACTTTTGATGTTGGAAAACTTCATAGGTGGAAAATGTTTACCCTGTAGCTCATATATCGACTCTTATGACCCGTGTACAGGGGAGGTGGGCTGCAGAGTGCCAGACAGTGGGAAAGAAGAGGTGAGTATTCTTCATGTACGGAAGGTCCAAATGGTCTTTAGATGTAAGTGAATTGTTGCCACTTAATTTTCTAGAAGCAGAGTGGGGCTGGGAATAGTGTAGACTTGTTACATATTAGCAGCAGGCAGATTTTAGTTTTAGGAAAGTTTACTTTGTAACTGGACAGATAGATACCATGAACAAATCTCAGGTTATTATTTGTAGAAGCAAGTCATTAGGCAACCTAAGACACAGACACAATTCTCAGACATTTCTTAACTGGTGTCTAGTAAAATGTACTATTTATTAAGAATTATGAGTGCTCCCTCTTCTCCACCAAGTGTTGCCTAAACTTGCCATTATATCCATGGAGTTCTAAAAGAACATGTTACTTCATTACAACATAAAATCAGAAACCTCAGGCATTTATTCTATGTTACCCTCTCATAATTCCTCACTTTTTCAAAATACCTACTGCAATAAAAATGATCATTCAATGGTGAAATTCAAATCAAATTTTCACATATTTTTAGAGTTAAGTTTAGCAGCATCCTTTTTCTTACTCAATGAGTGCTTAATGTCGCAGACATTTAAAAATTCTTAGTGACGTAGAATTAATTTTATTTGAAGAATTTTGTAATTTACTTTATTAGTTATCATTTACTACACCAAGAGTGAAAGTACATCTGGGCTGATAAATGTGACTGACACATGTAAAGTCATCTAATGCCTAATGGATTTTAAGTAATTTTTTTAAAGTACAAGGAGCTAGATTATGTAAGATAATTGCAGCCTTAATATATAATGAAGTACCATATGCAAGTTTTGCAGGGGAGAACTAGCTGTTATTTTTCTGTGTTAATATTTTAAATCTATTTTGCATTAAAAAGAACCTCGACTTGGGAATTAAAGGTTTCAAATATTTGCTAGCGTTGGTTAAACTGTATCCACAGTTTAACAGATACAGCCACAGATGTACCCACATCTGAACAAACACTTTTGTTTCTTTTAGATGATGTTGGATAGTTGTGAGAAATCCATCTCTGTGTTTTCCAGCCCTCCTTATCTCAGAGTGTTTCCCAAAGTGAAGTTAAAAATGAAAAATATGCCAAATTCAGTTGAAATATTTTTTTTGCAGTGAATGGCACATGCATTTTTGAGTTATGGATGTACCTGCTAGAAGAGGATTAAATGTTTTGAATTTCCTAACTATGTAACTTGCAAATATTCTATTTCATCCCATAAATCCTATTTTTTCCCCTGGCTTGAGAAATATGGTGACTGTACAAACTACTTGCCCAATTTCCCTAAAATTCACTCACAAAAAGTGCCACTGGTACTGTTCACAGTGGATCCTATTTATTCAGTTTTTGTTACTTGCTTCGCATACACTAAGCTCCTTAATATAAATTGTCCCAAATATGAGTGACCTATGAGTTTAACCTACCAATTAAACTCTGCCATCATCCTTATTTTACAGAGGACGGTGTGCTGACTCTGATTTCCCAGGCTTTGATCAGCGGTCCCCCTCTCTCTCACACACGCGCACAAACACACACATGTGGTGTGATAGCACTTGTATTAAAGCTTTGCAGTCACAAGCACAGACTAGAGTACAACAGCCTGGCTTAAAAGACCACCTGTACCACTTAGTTATCTGTGGTCTTGACCTAGAGCCGACCTTCCTGGTGCCTCAGTCTCCTTAGCTGGGGAATGGGGATAATCATATCTCCTTCCTAGCATTGTTCTGAGAATTAACTAGACTGGTCGACGTAAAACCCTTAGTGGCTGTCGTATAGAAAGTGTTCTAAGTATTATTATTTTTTTTGCTGATACTGTATATATTTGTATGTAATATTATAATATTGTTTAGTAGGTTAATCTGTATTCTATATTAAATGGACATAAGACATATGACAAAACAATTTAGAAAATATGTCTGGAACTGAGTTTTCTGCTTATCAAAAGGACTAGACTTTACATGACTAGGAAGATTGTATTCGTACGCTGACAGCTGTAAGATTAGGCTTTTCTTCTGACTGCTGTAGCAAGAATGCTTCTCCTATTGCCTGGCAGCAGGGTGTCCGCCCTTGGTGGTGGAGATCACTCAGGCTCACTCGTCTTTTCCTGTCCTCTCTGCAGGTCCATATTAGGGATTCAGTTTTTGAGATGAAACTATCACCTTTCCAGAAATTTCTAATTAAGACGAGTATCATTTAATACCTTATTTCAGCTCTCTGGGAGTGACTTCGTTCACATGAAAAGAACAGGAGAGAAGTGTAGATCAGAGTTTGGAGCAGAGGGTTAGCTATAAGCTCCGGCTGCTGAGTCGTCGGGTCACGTGATGCAGGAAATGCGCCGTGGCTGCCTGGACAGCCCGTGGGAAAGGATTCTGGGGCCGAGCCTGGGGGCCCGGCGGTGGAAAAAGGCTGCGATCATAAACGTTTGCCGTGCAGGTGAGAGAGGAGAGCGTGGAACACAGTCTGTGGATTCGCTACCTCTAGGAAAGGCATTGCTTGGCATTGCCCAAGAGAGAAGGGCGGCAGATGACCTGCAAGTTTATTCTGCCTGCGTTAATTGGCCTTGCACACACCTTCCCATATATTATTTCCTTTTGGAAAAAGCTCTCAAACCGGGTCCCCAGGCTAACTGTTCAGCCTTAGAGACCCTTCTCTCCAGCAGAGGGCTCTTTCATTGGGCGGAGATAGGCAGGGAGCAGGGAGCAGGGACTATGGCTGCACCAGAGCAGGCCAGCTGGTGGTCTTGGCAGCCACGGAGATCTGAGTTTGAATCTTGCTTCTTCCCATTATTGGCTGCGTGACCTCTGGCGAGTTGCTCGAGCTCTCTGTGCTTCGTTGTTTTTTTTTTTTTTCATCTGTAAATGTGCAAAGCAATACTCATGTTACAGAATTTTAAAAGGATTTAAATGAAATAATTTGTCTAAAGCATTTAGCATATTTTCTTATATATAAAAGTTAGCTGGTAAATTACCAATATGACTGGTCATTCCAAGTTGGATGACACCGATTCCAAACAAAATTTGAGATTTTACCTGACATGTCGGAGCTGAAATAAGTTTAGAGATTCTACTCATCTCATTTCCTCTCTCATATATTTTTAAAGATCTGTATTTTGAAATGATTGAAAATGTACATCTGTTACCATTCAAATAGCTGCTTTCTAATTATCTGACTGCACATTCTGGATGCATCTGTCCAAATGGAGCATTTTCTGTCCAAATGCCCCCTGCTTTGCTGGTCACGTGAACACCACCTTGTGGGTAAGTCAGCACTGGGAAGTGTTAGATATTTGAAATTAGGCAGGAAAACAATTGGCGTGTATGGATTCTGCGTTCATGCAACCCCTCAGGAGCAACAATTTTAAAGTGACCCTCCCCCATTTGCTGCTCCCCAAAGGTAGAGGCTGCGGTGGAGGCCGCCGGAGCCGCATTCCCCGCCTGGGCATCGCGCAGCCTGGAGGAGCGCTCGCAGGTGCTGCACCGGCTGGCAGACTTGCTGGAACAGTCCCTGGAGGAGCTGGCTCAGGCGGAATCGAAGGACCAAGGTGAAGAGCCCCTGCGTCTGCAAGGCTGTCTCTGCCCCGCCCCTTGTCCCCTTGGCTAGCAGCGCCGGGTGGCTACGTGCAGCCGACTCTTACTGAGCGCTTTATGGAAAGTGCAATCCATCATGCAGATGCTGGGATTCATCCCCTCCTTCCAGTTCGTCGGATGATCTCTTGCCTCTTAATCGTAATGCATGGAACTGGGCACTTTCTTCACATTACCCCTGCTGCAACCATCAGGAAGCAGGCGTGCTTCTCAGGTAGAAGGAGACATGGACGCCAAGCTACGCAAGGCCTCTGCAGGTTGAGTGGCCAAAGCCAGTGACCGCCCAAACCAAGTTCAAGGGCCAGGGAAATAAGTACACTCTGTTCGGGGGGAAGGAACTGCAAAGATATGTGTCTAAGGGCATGGATCTGTGGAGGGAGGAGGAACTAGGGTTGATCATGTGCCTTCCACCAACTCTAAGTCGAGAATTTCAAGGAAGAGCTCATCTGAAGAGCAGTTGCACAGCCAACATCACTCAGATGTCTGAGATACCACCGCTCTACTGCCGACACCATTTCCCAGTTTTTTAAAACTCCTTCCCAGAAGTGAGGGTAAGGGAGTAAGTGTCTGTAAATCCTTGCAATAATATCTGTTAGGAAAAGCCCAGATTGTCTAAAATTGTATGCCTGATGTAAACCAACGTAGAGTTAGGCTACGGCCTGGTCGCCGGGGCCCTGCCCCAGCACTGGCCCGAGCCCTTAAGAAGGAAACATTTACTGCCGGGCTGCTGACACTGCAGCGTCCCTGCCTCACTCAGGGTTACTAAGTAACGAGCCGGGTCAGCTTAGGGCTTCTTTTCTGTTCAATCCAGGGCCTAGATGTGTGTGGGCTGCGCGATGGGTGACCAAGTGCCACACAGCATCCCACACCAGGGGTCCTCACTGTTGTTCTGCCCCGTGTCCGTCCCAACGACTCCACTGTGTTGGAGGGACATTTAATACACATGATGTGTTTATCAAAGTGGTTTTCTGTGATGTGCAAAGACAGCTGTCTTTACACCCATGGTTCCAACCCCTCTGTAGCGTGTACAAAGCTTGCAGCTCTGAAATGACAGAGCTGGTGTGGGTGAAGTGGTACCGTCTGGCAAGTTCATGAGAATGGCTCTGAATTGCTCAGTCCATAAAGCAAACATCATTGGAGCCAACTTTAACCGCCTCCCACCTTGTCTTATAACCTTATATCTAATTATTGCATGGTTTTATCTATGCTCTGTCTATTCAGTGAATGTTCGTCCCAGGCTGGCCTTCCAGAGGCGACTTCTGCATGACAGCGTCTCCACTGTCCATGGGGGAATCCACTCAGCGTGCTTTTTGTTGTTGACTTCTTACAGGGAAAACCATAGCACTGGCGAGAGCCATGGACATCCCCCGGTCTGTGCAGAACCTCCGGTTCTTGGCGTCCTCCATCCTCCACCACACGTCAGTGCACCCAGATGGACCACCTGGGCTGTCCGCACTATACCGTGCGGACCCCCCTGGGGATCGGTAAGTGCCGCTCCGTGCAAGGCTGGACCACAGCTGCACCTAGAGATGCTCAGTCAGTTCCACTGAATTGATCTCAAGGAACAGTTTAAGGAGAAGGAAGGAGCTGATTTCTTATACTTTGACTGACGCATCATTGGACTTTTTAAAAATCTATTTCTAGTGTGTTTTCTTTGTGTGAAATTCCCTGCTTATTCCTGGAAGACTGTCCTTAGGAAATCACAGGGAAAAGAACGGTGCTGCGAGTAAATTCACAAGCCAGTATTTTCCCTTCACAACTTAGAAAGCAAAGTCTGCTTCTGGAGAGGGTTGTGGTGAAGATTGTGGCTCCTGGGTATGTGGGGGCAAGTGACACGGCCTTTGAGCTTCAGTATTCTCATCTGGAAAACGGGGACCAGAGTCTAATTCTGTCTTTTTATTTTTTATACAAATTAAACAAGTCAATAAGTGTAGAATACTTATAACAGGGCCAGGAAAGTGGTAAATAAGCCTTGACTGAATTATCTACCTACTTTCCTCATTCGGTTCTTTGCTTCCTGCCCTTTGAAGACCCATAAATATCTGCAATGACTTCAAATATCCACTAGATGCCACTGTTTCCACAGAAAAAACCCTCAACTATACATATTTTACTAATTACATTTTGTGGTGGGATGGACGATTATAAGTTAAAAGGAAAGAAAATGGGATTAGAACCCTTCAGGAATGGTATTTTCAAGGCATATAAAAAACTCAGACATCCTCCTATAATGTGCTGATATATTATAATGGTGCAAAAATATTGTTAGCCCCTAAAGAAAAGAGTTTTCAATGGGAAACTTAATAATATAAAATATATTTACCTTTTATAGGAGAGAATTGAAGGCAGATCATAAAATAAGGTGAATCCATTTACTTATTTATAAGGCAGCTTTTATTTTTACCAGAGTTTTCTGGTTGGGAGGCTGGACGCTTTTGAACTGTTACAGGGAGGCGCAGGCTACTTGCCACCTCTGTTACTCGTCCAGAAAGCCTGTCTGATCAGGATGCAATCAGGATTGTAGGCAAAAATCCTGACCAGGATTTCTATGCAAAAATACTCTGGCTAGCTAAAATGGATTTCACCATCTCAGAATGTATTTGCTCTTATTTTACAAATAATTCTTAAAAGCTTGAGGTTTTATGTCTCGATCCGTAACAGATGGGAAACAGAGATGAAGCAGCTTTGGAGAAATGGTGGCTGCACAGTTTAAAGGAGGAGGGAGAGGCCTGCCCCCACATGAAGATCGGTCCATAGATGGCCAAACTCGCCACTTCATGGAAATGTTCAGGGATAGGTGACAGCCACCGAGCCCTGAAACTTACTGTTGTTCATAAATATCATTGTCAGTCATCCTAAAGGACACGGTTGTCTGTGAAACATTTTAGTGATTTCCCGGAAGTTGGCTACAAATAAGCCAAGTTTGGGGTTTTAGGAGCTAAAGTTCCATTCAGCAGGAAGGTCCCAGTTAGTGACCCCCGTCAGGCCGGTCCGCTCGGAGGGCCGAGTGACCGTTGGCACTGCCTCTGCTCCCAGCCAGCTGGGCTGATCAGCCCCTGGAACTTGCCACTCTACTTGCTGACCTGGAAGATCGCTCCGGCGATCGCTGCGGGCAACACGGTGATAGCCAAGCCCAGCGAGCTGACTTCAGTGACCGCGTGGATGATGTGCAAACTCCTGGAGAAAGCAGGAAATGGGGTGTTCGAGTCTGATTGAGGATCAGCCTCAAGGCTCTATATTTCATAAGCTTTAACTACCTCCCCCTCCCCGCCCCCTCCCGCCCCGAGGGTCACTGACATACACAAAGTTATTTCGGAAAAGAATCTGCTCAGCAGCAAAACAGATCCCTCTGACATCTCTGGTTTTTGTCTCGCGGTTCCTTTTCTGAGAAATCCCCTTCATCCATGGGGTTTGCTCCCAGGGCCACCTCGGTTCAACTGCGGGACGTGCTGCTGCGTCCTGCCCGCAGGGGTCGCCGGCGCCACCAGCACAGGACGGGAACACAACTCAGGTGCAAGGAGCCCAACAAACCAGAGCAGCCTGCTCCAGAGGGCGTCTATGACAGTCAATTTAAATCTTATGTTGGAACCACGAGTTCATCTTGCTGAAAATAAGGATATTACTAGGCACTCTTTGTGTGGCTGTAGAATACCTGATAGAAATAGCCCGTTTCCAAGGGATCTGAAATACATTCCTCAGTTTTCCCTGCATTTGGAATCACTACTCAGGCGCTGATATAATCCGGCTTCTTGTCCTCTTTCTGATACGATTGCGATTGCAAGGGCTACGTTCAGCGTGCGTTCCCGGATTAGTTCAGGGGTGTTCAACCTGATGCTGCCATGTCCAACCCTGTCCAACCAAGGTTGGAAGGAAGCAGGAGGTCTGTCCTCTACCCCATGAGAAAGGCCTACTGTTAGGGCCCTCAGCTCTTGTCGCACAGCTGGGGTAGAAAGGATGAGGGTGGGGGGTGGGGAAGCGGCTGTCAGGCAGGCCCTCTGGGTCCCTGCTGTGCCTGCCTCCTTCGAGCCCACAGGGAAGACTCTGCTGCCCCCTGCCGGTGTCCACTGAGTGGGCATTTGGGAAGAGCCCATCTTTCTGTCTCTACTGGATACCTTTTCTCTCTGAGCAAAAATAGACACAGAGGATTCCAGAAAAGGTGAGCCAGTTCGTTAAGATTTCGATGGCAGGTTAAACTGTGCCTGTTTAAGGAAGGGCCTCGTGGCCCTGGTTTGGCTTCCCATTGCCCTGTGTCCTCCAGGGGGAGGGGGCCCCCGGTCCTCTGGGGGGCTCCGTCTGTGGGTGCCCCGGCCTTTTCCGGGTGTACGACAGGAACGTGCCTCCCTCTGTTCTGTTCCAGACTGTGTCATCCCTTCCTCGCACAGGGATCGTGCTTTAATCCCAGGTTTTACAAAATTGAGTCTGGAGTGTCCGCCAAGGTCCGAGCTGTTTCCTCCCTGCCTTTTGACCGTGGGCGGATTCCCTCCATGAGACAGGCGGGGAGCCCACACTCCGCTTCGATCCACACGGGGGAGGGCGCTGTGCAGGCGGGAAGGTGCCGTTCCAGACACGCTGTTTTCTGAACTCAGCCACCTCCTCGCTGAGGACGACTTCTCCCCCCTCACTGCTCTCCCCAGCCACAGAGTCCAGAGTCGGGCCTGGGCGAGAACTTCATGTTCCCACCTGTTTGCACAGCATTCCTCTTGTTTTTTTACAAGTGACTAAACTTATGATACCAAGACGGTCCCTCCCACCCTCCATCCCCAGGCTGGCTTTGCTCTGCTTCCTTCCTGCATCAGACATGAAGAAGGGGATGCCCAGCTTGTGCCCCTGTGATCCTTTGGTTTCTCCCCTGGGGTCGGAGGAGGCGTGAATCACGCTACACGACCCTGCTTCAGAGCACTGTGAGAGAAACGTTGAATGTGCAGGGAGGAGAAAGCTGAGGTCACCTCCTGGTACATTCAGGGTGTTTCCAGAGCTAGCTCCCCCAGCCCCAGATGTCCAAACAGACATTCCTTTGAAATAATTTTAAAAGTGTGCAGTGAAAACCTCTTTGGGAGTCCTAGAGTGCTCATTTTCTTTCTTGGGGGCGCCCATGTTTGCCCTCATTTCTGGAGTGCCCACTGATGAGATTTTTGGGGTTCTTCCCATATTGGTTTTTGTCCTGATCTATCTGAGCTTCAGCTTCTTCTTGCCACCTGGCCACATCCCAGCTTTGCAGGGGCTTTGTTCTGTTAGCTCCCGTCCCGAGTTTTACCAGTTGTTATTTGCCCATTAAATTGCCTCCCTTCTCTTCCCAATGGAATCTCTGAAGAGTAGAGCTCAGCTGTCCCTTTAAAAAATGTCATTACAGTGCCGGGAAACAGCGGCCGATAGGTGGTGTTCACGCTGGGGCTCGAGAACGCGTGATCAAGATGGCAGTGCCGGCCGAGGCCAGCTCATTACCCTGTGGTGATAAACAGGAGGTGTCTCCAACTTTCCTCTCTCCCTTGGTTGAAATGCTACTGTAAACTTTACAAGTGATTCAACCCATCTTTTGACTTCAGGGTTTAGAACACCAAAGAGTCCACCTTCTTGTGCCCACCGTGCCCCCCTCCCACCGCCTCCAAACATCTGACGAACATCCACATGCCTGTCATTTCATGGAGATGCAGGGCCTGCCTTGCCAATGGAGGGAAACTTGTTCTTGTTTTCTTCCCATCGGCCAGGGGGAGGACCTCTCGCCCAGCATCTTCTTTGCCCCACCTGGGACCCAGCTGCTTTCCCCTGGTGCCTGACTCTGAGCCTGCCCTCAGCTGGCAGTGCCGAATGGTCCAGAAGTTCGACCTGAGCTAGATATCAACTGGGGCGCGCACTGGGTGTAGAGGTGGTTCACCTGAACGGGCCTCGGCCGAACCCTCAAGGCGATCAGGCCAAGGCTGTGGCTCTGTGGGCAGGTGTGCTGGATGATAACGGGTCACCAATGTAAAATTATTATTTATACTTTAAAAGCATATTTTTGGGGAGAACGTTTTGCTCCCAGAGCGAGAGTGCCTGACCTGGAGCAAGGGAGAAATACTAGGTAGGAATGGGAAGCAGTGTAAAGCCCCCCTGTGTGGGGTGGGGGTGTGGGCTGGGTGGGGATGGTTTCTGCCACTCAAGCCGGAGGACACCGAGGGCATAAACTTGACCACCTGCAGGCCAACCCCAAGAACATTCAGGACACAACACAAATTGCTCATAGTTTTTTTTTCTGGACACTTGAAGTTTTCCAAAGTCAAAAACCATTTCTAATGTGCATAAAGTACACTAAGCGTCCATTCATCTACTTACTTAACAATTCTGACTTGACCTCCTACACCCAGTGTTGCCTCTCATTGCTTGTTATTTAACTTCACTGTGCCTCGGTTTTCTCATGGATGGAGTGAGGACGTTCTTACTACCTGCCTGATGAAGGTGCTGGCAGCTCTGGAGGGGCGGACCACTCACAGCAGGGACTGGCCCGCATCAGTGAGCACCCGTGAGTGAGAATCGGCGCTCGCTGGCATTAGTTCTGCGGGCAAACTAGGCCGCGTGCAGGGACGCATGCCGGGGGAGAGTGGACCCCCCCCTGCCCCGACAGATGCTGTTTCTGCTCTCACCTTCTAGTGGTGGACAGGTAATAAACAGATCACCCCCCAAAATGTGTAAGTACGTAAATACCTGAGATGCGGCGAGTAGGGCCTGATGATAGAAAAGACTAAGACATTTATTTGTGTGTGTTCTTGGCACTTTAAGTCAGTCCTAGGGTGTAGTGTTGCATCTCTATCGTGGGGCACAGGCCCTTCAACTCAAAACTCACCTTCCTAGGCCGGACCCCTCCTTCACTCCCCTGGGCCAAGATAGTCAATGTCTTCTCTGGATCTTGCAGCATTTTCATTCCCCTCTGCTAACATTTTTACACTGAATGGTGACTCCTGATGCCTACTCGAAGCAGGGCTCTCTTCCCTCACAGGGCTTGACCTACCTGGGGATATCTCTGCATCCGCAGCCCCTGAGGCCTTGTTGGTTTTATGGAATGAATGGTGCAGAATGTTGTACTATGCCCTGCACTTTTGTAGGGCAAAGCACCCAGAGAAATTCCGCCCAGGTGTCTGCCAGGTGGAGGTGATGCTGCTGGTCTTCCTTTACTTAGTAAACCAGGGAGAGCTGCAAGAGTTCACTTCGACCTATTGGACTTTCAAAGAGAATCTCCATATAACCTGAAGTCCTCGATGTACGGAGAAGTCTTTCTGTAACGGATACTGTGTCCCATCCAGGTGTGCCACAGGTGTGGTGAATACTGTGTTTGGAACAAGGCCCGGGGTAGGCGAGGCCCTGGTGTCTCGCCCGGAGGTGCCCCTCATCTCCTTCACCGGGAGTCAGCCCACCAGTGAGCGGATCATTCAGCTGAGTGCTCCCCACTGCAAGAAGCTCTCCCTGGAGCTGGGGGGCAAGAACCCCGCCATCATCTTTGAGGATGCCAACCTGGGCGACTGTGTTCCCACCACCGTCAGGTCCAGCTTTGCCAACCAGGTATGTCCTCTGGGTTGTTGTTTGTTTGTTGTTTCTTTTAACTCTGTTGCCCCATCAAGCAGGATCTGTGTCAGCACAGTGCAAAGCCAGGAGTGAGTGAGAAAACCCCGTGCTATTTCAGCGGAACCCCTTCTGTTCCACTGAAGTCATTAACTTCGAGTTATTCCATCTGTTCAACCTCAGTGTCTATCCGTGGCCTTGTTGGGTCACAGCTTCTGTTCAGTGAGCTCCTTTTTTGAGTTACATGAGTTTTCTCAGGGGGCTGCCATGGGCAAAGTGATTGATTTTTGCTACTCCAGCCTTGTATTCATAGAGTTGCCCCTAGGCTCTTCCTGCTGTCTAGATGTCCTACTTCCAGGAAACCTCATTCTCTTCCCAAAAGCAACCCAAATGCACTCCCAAACATACAAGTAAGTACTGCAACTGGTCTAGAGCTGGTTTCTTACCTTAGAGTCATGGGTGAACTTCAGGGCAACTTTCCATCCCCTGAAACTAGCAGGTGTTTCCTGGGGTCCATAGTTCTCATCAGTCTTCAAGACCATAGCATCCCAAAGGGTGAAGGAGACAGGATTGGATGGCCCAGCCTGCAGGTGTCCTGTGCAGCCCATTAGCCTCAGCACCCAGGGCAGTGCCGAGGATGGCGCAGGTGTGTGTGGACCCAAATGCCCTTCTCCAATGGGTGTGTGTTTTTAAATTTGTATCAAAAAACAAAGACTTAAGCCAAAGAGTTAGAACTTCCATAGAAGGAAAGATGGGTGGAATGAGATGTGTCTTTATTTAACCTAACTCGAATAATTTGCACAGCCTTTCGAAACTTCCTTTTTTTGCCAGTAAATGATGGAAATAGCACTAATAATGCCTTCCAATAGAGTTTTGTGAGTCTAGAATAAAAAACATCTCTTACAATAATTATGATGGCTTAAGCCATTGATGGCTTTTTCGTAGTCATTATGATTGTAACTGTTTCTCTCTGAGAAGTTCTACAGCAAGTGGCTTAGGAATTTATATACCTATGCGCATCGGTGCTCAGAGTGCAGTGTGACCTACCCACAGAGGAGTGTGTCCTCCTGCTCTGTCCTTGTCCTCCTGTGTCCTCCTTGGCAGGGTGAAATCTGCTTCTGTATCAGCAGGATCTTCGTCCAGAAGAGGATCTACAGTGAATTTTTAAAGAGGTTCGTAGCAGCTACTAGAATGTGGAAAGTTGGCGCCCCCTCCGACCCGTCGGCCAACATGGCCCCCTGATAAGTAGAAGCCATCTGGAGAGGTAAGCAAGTCCCTGTCACGTTCGTTATGGAAAGAGTCTGTGCTTGGAGAGAAGCTCAGTGCAAGCATAGCACCTGTCTGTGCCTTGAAATGATGTCAGCTACTGCCTTGTTTTTCAACAACTATGACCTGCAGAGAATTGTCTCTGGATACAGAGTCTAAACATGTTGACTGTGAATCATTCAGATTTAAAACAGCTCCAAGTTGAAATGAATGCTCTTGAGAAGTCAGCACGAACATACCACCGCTGCTGCATGCTGGCCTCCCTAGTCTTCCTTAAAAATATCAGCCCACTCCTTCCTTTTGGCCTTTGCTCTTGCTGCCCACACCCCCTAGAATGTTCTTCCTTCAGAGGTTTGCTTGGTTCTCTCCTTAGATCAAATGTTACTGTCCGTATGAGCACTTGCCTGCTCACCCTACATAAAATCACACCCCCTAGAACTTCCTCTGCCTCTTTGCTGATTTATTTTTCTCCATGACTCTTACTATCACCTGAGATACACTATATAGTATTTATTCCTTTATTGTCCATATTTCCTTGGCTGGAATGCTAGCTTCATGGTCAGTCTTATTCACTACTAAATCCTTAGATCCTAAAAAAGTACCCTGAACATAAAGTGCACATAATGTTTGTTTGACAGATGATTAAATTAACACTCCATCCTATGTTCTAGTTACACTATAATCCCCAAACATGAGGATTCCATTTTCTCTTTCCTCTTGAACACAAGTAGGGAGCATCCGGTTTCACTGACCATTAATGTATAATAACAAAAGAAAGTCCATGTAAATACATACAAGTCTTTGAAGTTTTGCTTGAGACTCTCCTTTAATGCTTCAACTTTCCATTGGTTATTTCAGCTTACTTCACAGGCAGCTTTAGAATTGAATTCCAGTTTCATAAAAATCTTTTGGAAAATATTTTGTGTTCAATACCTCAATATCATAAAAATCTAACTTCTTAAATGCCAACTAAGAATTTCAAAAAATAGAGACTTTCATTCAAGATGGCGGCATAGCTACACATGACTTGCCTCCTCACACAACCACATCAAAATTACAACTAAACTACAAAATAACCATTGTTCAGAACTGCCAGAAATAGAGCTGCATGGAAGTCCTACAACTACAGAATTAGAAGAAACCACATCGAGACTAGAATAAACACTTTTAATTCTGTGCAAAAAAAGAATTTCAAAAATATGATCAGCTTCTTTTCTAAATTCATTAGAGATGAATTTTTACAGCATTACTACAAAAAGTCAAGTGGAACATTACCTGTAAGTCCACATTTCTAGCCACTCCAATGTTCTTGTTTTCTAAAAAAACAACTTATAAAAATGTTACAAAATATTTCAGTTATGACACATTGTAGTTGAAAAGTACATATTTCTCCATATTACCAAACCATATTACCATATTACCTTTTGTTTTGTTTTGGTGATTTCCAGTAGTTTTAATTACCTCTAATATGGACACAGAGGATTTAAAGTTGCAGGATCAAAATATTTTAGCATAAAATTTCCAAATTTCTTTTCCACAGTAAAATATATACCTTAAACTTAGTGTTTTTGAGTGACTCTACCGTGAAGACCCAAATTTCCTTCTTTTTAGTAAGTTGGTGGCTGGAGTCTAATGACAGCGATCCCCAGGCATACACGCGGTGTCCTGGTGGATCCTGAAGATTACCTGCTGTAGACTGAGAATATATCCAGGGCAGGAGGAAGCCGAGGCCTCCCATTAGCACATGTGTGTCCCCTTAGCACCTGTGCACAGACGGGAGGATGCACCACCTGAAGGCTCTGGGTAGCCCCCACCCCAGGCCCATTGCCTCTGCCTCAACACAGCTCCCCATGTGGGTTTTGCCAAGCCAGCTACTTCTCATCTGAATCCAGGCTAAGGTATGTAGGGAGAGCCTGGTTTCCCCCGCATCCCCTCACCTTGGCCTTTTCAGATCGTGGCTCTTTTCGGTTCAGTCTCCCAAAGCATCTGGGATCAAGGAGGCAGGGGATATCTTTCCCTGTCTTTCACAGGAGAGCTTTGGGGGCTGTGTGCCGAGGAAGGTCCCATCTGCCATCACTGTATTCCTTGTCTCCTCTTCCACAGTGCGTCTGTTTTCTCCAAATCACACTGGTCCTGCGGAGTCTGGGGTCTTTGTGTCCATTCTACTCTATGTGATTGTCATGATAGCTGGTGGTACAGTGACCGAGGAATCCCAGTAGAATACATAAATGTTGTTTTGTAATGGCAAAGGGCTCAGGAATTCACAGAGATACAGCATGCTCCTAAGTGGGCATGGCACTTCCCAGCTTCCTTGGATCACAGGAGGTACCCCAAAAATTGCAGGTGACTCTGTCCTCAAGGAATGAAGGAAAGCCTCCCTAGCCTGTTTCAGAGAGTTGCTTTTTGTTTTTCTTTTTACTCTCCCGAGTCCTTCCCCACTTGGCTGTCTAGAGAATCTGGCTATATGCTTGCCTTCCCACAGATGCAAGTGAGATAGTGAGATAGAATTCTTGAGTGTTTACAGTGAGGCTGGAGGAAGTTCACAGGTGCTTCCCCCAGCAGGGCCAGGCTTTAAGGTCCACTCTTGCAGTTTCTTATCTCCTTTGTCAGATTAAACAAATTTTCACAGAGTGGAGGACACCTCTGAAGTCTCTCAGCTCCTAAGTATCAGATCATACATTATGTTATCATCTTCATCTACAGCAACAGCATTCAAAAGGCTTGCTGTGTATCAGGTATTATGCTAAATGTTTTACATACTTTATTTAATCCCATGAATAGGTAGCAGTGTTAACCCTACTTTTCAGATGATGAAACTGAGGCATGTATCATTTAACATTTCTTAGCTAGTGAGTAATTTGAACACAGTTGTGCTACTAAGTACTAACTATTCTCTGCTCCAAAAAAGTTTTATAATAGTAATTCATTACCTTGTATAGCATATTACCAGTTATGAGGGTTTTTTTCAGATTTTACTGAAAATCTCAGTTCCTAAGCTGCTGCTAGTATAGATTTCATTCCATCTTTCAGTGATAACTTCTCTGAAAAATGAATTCAGTTCAGTAAGAGTCACCTTACACACCAAAATTTTGATAAATTTACCATTTGAAACTGACACTTCTGTTCATATGTGATGATCCCAAGAGTGTCTAAGAGATAATCATGTGATAATGTAAAACTGAAACACTCCTGGCAGTGTTGGAATTGTGACCAATGTCCTGACGGAGTCTCACCTGGACTTCCTTTGTCCAGGATGCTGCTTTAGGCATTTTTTAATTAATGCGGGTGGGTTGCTTCAGAAGGAGGGAGAGAGCGAGGCAAAAGAGAAGTCCAAATCTGTTTGAATCCCTGCCCGCACACCAGCCTGGGGCTTTCCTGGGAAGCTTTGAGACCATTAGGAGTGTTAGGGGCGGGGGTGGAGCAGAGGGGCGCACAGAGCTGGACCAAATGTTCTGTTTTTAGCAAGTCTGACTTCCTGGCTTATTAAGTGATCTACAAATTGAAGCAAGTTTAATAATAAATAATATTACCATTTTTACATTTAAATGGCAAGCATATAGCCTGTGTTGAATATAGTTCTACAATGGAAAACTAATTTAATATTGGGACAAAATCCTCAGACAATAAATGATAAGTAGGAATCCAAACTGTATTTCAAAATTTACCTTGCCTGGGGTATACCACTTAACTCTTGTTCTATACTTTTAATTTTGGGGCTTTTTTATTTCTCCTATGCTTATGTCACCCCTCAGAGGTAGCATCATCTATCACTGTGACTTAAACAACATTTTTATATATAAATGTATATATCAGTATTATAATGAGCGTTTCCATAGCCACTTTTAATAAGTATCTGTCATTGTCTCTGAGTCACTGGGTTAACTTATTGCCTAATTTATTTCCCATTATAGTTAGCTATGGTATATTACCTATCAGTAATGAGACTAGAAATGAAAAATTACTTGTTCTGGAAGCTCAGCTATATCAAGGGCATCCTGACCTTTAATTAAATCCTATACACCATTCAACTTCACACTTTCCACAAAGGACACAGCTTCTCAAAGAGTGAGAAATTATTCTTTTGCCTATTTAACTACTGAATATGCCTGAGTGTGAATTCTAGTTTTCCTGTTTATAAGTTTTCTGAAATGTTCACCCTCTTTGAGGCTCGATGATATCATCGGCAAGTAGGGGGATAATAGTACCTAGTTAATAGGCTTTTGAGAGAATTCAGGGAGACTATCTAAAAAGTGCTTATCTGAGTGACTGGCACCTAGACATTAAGTAAACTGCTCACGCCTTTTCCATACGAGGGCTGAATGCCCAAGTGATACTTAGCGCTCTTCTGCCCCTCAGCCTTAGCAGCCGAGTGGTAAAATAACCTTAGATTTCTCGGCAATGACCTCACATGTCTTTCCTGGATGATTTGCAAATACTGAATTTTTTGTTGCTTTGTGTGAGGGCAAATGGTAAGATGTTGCTAACTGCGGTTTTTACCTGCCCAGGTCAGAAGTTACATCGAGAGAGCTCCTGCCGAAGGGGCCCGTGTTCTGTGCAGTGAGGGAGTGGATACACTGAGTCTCCCCCCTGGGGAATCGGGGAGGCTATTTTATGCTTCCCACCGTGATAACAGACATTAAGGATGAGTCATGCTGCATGAAGGAAGAGATATTTGGTCCAGTGACGTGTGTTGTCCCCTTCGAGAGCGAAGAGGAAGTGATTGGTGTAGCCAACAGTTAAATATGGGCTGGCGGCAACAGTGTGGTCAAGCAATGTGGGGCGTGTCCATCGGGCGGCTAAGAAGTTGCAGTCAGGCTTGGTCTGGACCAACTGCTGGCTCATCAGAGAGCTGAACCTTCCCTTCAGGGGGATGAAGAGTTCTGGAATAGGTAGAGAGGGAGCCAAGGACTCTTACAACTTCTTCACTGAAATCAAAACGGTCACCATTAAACACTGACCTTGGCCAGTGGAGAATTGTTATGGTCAGTGCCTGGCTACAGACAATCAGTGGTCCGATGTGGCCAGTGGACATACTGGCATCAATTCCAGCCAGGTCTCACCCCAGCAGGAGCTTCTCTCTACCTTATCCTCAGTAGTTAGTATTTTTACCTGCCGGTGAAGAGATGTCTACTTTCAAGAGGAAGGCAAAGAAGAGAGCACTTCTGCAGGGGAAAACACGAAAAGGAAGCCAAACAATTGTCAGGTTCCTCTTGTGTTGTGTCTTCACAGGGATTTAAAAAATCATTCTGATCAGATTCTTGGAAATTCACAGATAATAAGACTTTTCTTTTGCATTTGCACATGGATGGTTAAAAAAAATCTACAAAGCCAAAGAGAAACAAATCACCATAATTTCCTACCTCTGGGAAGATTGCCAAGGGTCTCTGTCCATCAGCCAGCAGCAAGGCTAACTGTGAATTGACTGTACTTCATTATGCAATCAGACTGTGAATGTCAATGATAAATGCAGCATGGAATTTGTTAGAGGAGGCATGGGTGGTAGCTCCCAATTAATATGCCTATAGAAGCACAAGGGAAAATACCGTAACTATTACTTTGGGAAGAAACTTAGAACAGGAAGAATCTGACCCACACCTCCTGTGGAGTCTGATCAGTTCCAGTTCTTAGTGTGTACCTAACGAGACCTACAACTTACTAATCAATCCTATAGAGAGTGGTAAATGTGAAGCAGTTTTAGTAACCAGTACGGCATACCCTCTTTTTGAATTGCCCTTTCTTCTTCCTCCTTTCCCTCATCCTGTTAGAAGTATGGACTTATACTAAGTAATAAAGAAATTTCTAGTGCTTTTTTTTCTAGATGCCCTGGCGATCAGAGGAGACAGAGGTTTATAGAGATTAACTAGCATCTTTGAGATGACACAGAAGGGTGTGAGGCAGAGGGAGGTCTGAACCCAGGGCTCTGTCTCCAAGGCCGTGATCTCTGGTCACGTCACACTTGCCTTGGACTGTGCTCCAGAGCAGCCAGGTGGGCGTGCGGAACACCTGATGTTGGGGCTCCTCCCACTGTGCCTGTTCCCTCCTCTCTCCTGCTCTGCTCTGCTCTGCTCTGCTTGTCCACGCAACCCAGGGATGCCTCCAGCACAGCCCTTTCCACACTGCCTGAAGTGGTCTGTTTGCACGTCTGACCCCCGAAAGGACCGGAGTCACCGATACCCAAGGCAGGTGTTCATCCACCCTGGAGTCTCAGTTCATAACACAGTGCCTGACGCATAAAAGATGCTCAAAACAAGTTTCAGAAATGGAAGCAGGTTTTCCTGGAACTCTGGTGTATTTTTTGCATAATTTATGGGGGAGGTCAGTAGGGGTGACACATTGATCTTTATAATTTTGCATAAGGTTTTGGATATGCTGGCTTGTTCGCAAATGCTGAAAAATACAAGCCCACTTGAAGTCAAGTGATTGTGTTGGATTATATCTGTTTCCTAGCTTCCATTTTCCTTTTCCTCTCTTTTCCTCGCCTCCCCTCTTCCCCAGCTGAAGCCCCTTGACCTTGATTAATTAAGCCTAAGACCAATTTTGAGTACCAGCAGGAGGAATTTCAGCAGCTCCAGTCTCTAAGAATCTTCATCTTCATTCTTGTAATTGGTCTGTCTCAAGTTCATCCTTGCTTCTCAGACCTAAAAGCCATATCTTGATTCCGAACTCTGTCAGCTGAACCTCTTCACGCCCTGTGCCCAGACACCATCTCCCACCACACGTTTCCTGCGCAGGAGATTCCCCTCAGGACCTGGCGCCAGCCCTGCTCTCGTCACTTCCTGCCCGGGCTCTGGATCCTGCCTCGGGAAGGGCTTGCTTCCTGATGGCGGACATTCTGGGTGCCTTTTCCCAACTCCTTGTCTCTTTGGACCTGCAGAAGCCCCTGCTGGGCTCCCAGGGCAGTCTGAGTAACGCACACGTGGCCAAATGCCACTCTCCCCGTGCCGACACTCTCTCAGTCTTCGGCAGCGAGACCAGTGGCTCTTATGCCCTAGCAGCCCAGGCGGACCTCTCCTCGATTTTTCTAGCCCACACGAGTGGGGGAATGTAGTTCCAAGGCCTTACCTGTTCCAGCCATCCCGGACGTCTCAGGTCCTGGACATCAGCTAAAGGTGCTGGTGAGGTCCGTGCTGGACCAGGGCACAGCCCCTCGGGGGCACCCCCCACAGCTGTGGGGCTGCAGGGGCCTCTGCCTTGTTGTGCTCAGAGCTGAAAGGAAGGCAATCCGGGGAGGGCCACGGGATTTTCAGCTATATTTACAAAGTTTTATTTCTAAGCAGGATGATGGGCATATGGGTGTTTATTATACTATTTCATAAATAGGAAATATACAGTTTTTTTGGTCAAAAAACATGAGGGATCAGTCAAGGATCAGCCAATTTTTGGTAAAAGAGAAATGCCAAAATGTGTGAAAGAGCTACTAACCATGGGAGATGAGATAAAAGAAAGAAAGAAGGAATTAGTCTCCTAGGAGAGACTTGAGAGGATAGGTGTTCATACAGAAGAACAGACCACTATGAAAAAGGACTGGGAAAGAGGCCCTGAAACACTGAACACTGGTTCCCAAAGGCATTTTAAAAATTAATAGAATTGAGTCACTGATATGGCTGAAAACTAAATTGGTAAGATGGAAATAAAGTTGAGAAAATAGTTCAGAATGTAGAGGATGACAGAAAGGAAAACTACCAGGAAGAAGCTGAACTGGAGGATAGATCTGGGAAGCTACTAATATGTAATCCAAGATGACAGAACAAAGATGAATAATGAAATAAGTAATAAAAGATAATTTTCCTGAACTATAAAAAAGATTTTCAGATGGAAAATTTTTGCCATGTGCCAAGAACTATTCAGTTGAAAGTAAAAAATTCCTATTGTAGCCCTGACTGGTGTGGCTCAGCATGTAGGGCATTGTCTTGCAAAGCAAAAACTTGTTGGTTCAATTCCCAGTCAGGGCACATGCCTGGTTTGCAGGCCAGGTCTCCAGTACAGGCCATAGAGAGGCAACCAATCAAGGTTTTTTCACAAATCAACGTTTCTGTCCTTCTCTTTCTTCTTCCCTTCCTCTCTCTGTAAAAGTAAATAAAATGTTTAAAAAAACTTTGAAAATGCCAAGTGTAAAACTTGCAGAAAGAATTAACAGGATACCTGCAAAAACTAAAAATAAAAAGCATAAAATTGTCATCACACTTTGCATTAATAATGTTGAGGCTAGCCCTGGCTGGTGTAGCTCAGTGGATTGAGCAAGGGCCTGAGAACCAAACAACCGCAGTTCAATTCCCAGCCAGGGCGCGTGCCTGGGTTGCAGGCCAGTTCCCAACAGGGGACACACGAGAGGCAACCATACATTGATATTTCTCTCCCTCTCTCCTTCCCTTCCCCTCTAAAGATAAATAAATAAAATCTTTTTTTTAAATATCTTTTTTTTTAAGATTTTTTATTTATTTATCTTTAGAGGGGAAAGGAAGGAGAGAGGGAGAGAACTGGCCTGCAACCCAGGCATGTGCCCTGACTGGGAATCGAACCATGGTTGCTTGGTTCCCAGGCCCGCGCTCAATCCACTGAGCTACACCAGCCAGGGCAATAAAATCTTTAAAAAATAATATTGAGGCTAGAAGACAGTGAAGCAAGTCTTTAAAATTCTCAGAAAAAAAAATTTTGAACCTAAATTTTATTGCCAGCCACCTGTTGCTCAAGAATTAATGCAAAATAATTCATCTAGCGACTCAGAAATTTCTCCCATTTCCTCTTCCGGGTGTGACTTGGGATGTGACACAGGAAAAGTAATCCAGCAAATAGAAAAATGGGAAAAAATGAAAAGAAGTTTCAAGTGGTTAGCTGCCAAACAGGCCAACAAAGCAATTGGCCTGAATTAAAACAGGGAAGACAGGAGGTAGTGATTAAAGGACACTGATTTTTAAAAAATATGTTCAGTTATCTGAAAGATCTTAGATATGTAAAAGGGAACATACACATCTATTCTAACCATTAGAATAAAGGTGAGTTAAAAGTGTTCAGAAGTCATGACAAGGTGAAGCAAAGTGAAATGTGACCTGACTTAGAAAAATAGAAGGAGTGGAAGTTAAGGGAATCCATTTTTCAATAATTTTTCGGATGCCTATTTTTGGTAACATCAAATTCCATTTCCAGCTCTATGAGCCTTACTTGATTCTGCAGTTACTATCTATATAATCTCAATAATATAAATGTGTCTTATTGGTTTTTAATCTTCTAAGTCACACCATAGACACAGTTCAGAAAACCAGCTTAAAATTACAGAACAGAGTTTGGAGGTTATAAGGCCGACGGTGGTATCTGTTAGCTGACAAGTTGGGAGGAGGAAAGGAAGGGGGACCAGGTTATGGGCAGTGGAGTACTTTCCTCATGAATTGGGAGCAGGTCAATCATGTTAGAAACTGAAAAATCAAGAAACTGCGGTTTATACATATTAAAGTTACACATGTAGCCATTAAACGCCTTAAAATGAGAGATCATAAAATGCCCATGTGACCCCTGAGAATAGGAAGGGGGGAGCTGCGGAGAGCTGAGACGTCGGGAGCAGAGTAAACCCACACTCCCGAGGGTGATGAAGCCAGAAACACAGGCACACACGAGTGGGTCAGTTCCATCGTGTCGAACACCTACGGCCAGGGCTATTTAAAACTCGGTTAATTCTGGGAAGCAGAACTAAGGCTGAGAGGGGGTGTTTAACATAACATAAAGACACATTTGAATCACTTGGTATGCTTTGAGTTTATCTTTTGAACACGTTGCGAAAGGCCTTTTATAAATAATGAGGTTTGTATTTAAACCTCTTCTGGTGAAGTTCTCCACACAGGTGGGAGTTGGGAAAGACATGCTGTCCCAGGGCACTCCGGGTCTTCATCACTCGGACCCTGGCTGCCTTAAGAGATCTGAGATCACCTGAGATCTTGGGACACCCAGCTGGACTGGAGAGAACCTGGGAAACCTGCCCCGGGTTGGTCAAAGGAGGAAGGTGGCCTCCTGTGCCCCCAGGGCTGCCAGTCTGCTCAGCAGGAGGTCACCACAGGCAACCCAAGGGGCCCCTAACTCCCGTCCCACCTACTATCTCCTGGACAGGCCTCTCTCTGGTGAGAGTCTGGTCCAGGAAAATTCTCATCAGATTGAACGTTCCCCTAAACCTGAGCTCTGACTTTTAAAAGAAAACTCCAAAGATGAGGTCCTTCTTTGCTTTGGACTGGCTTATCTCCTGGGAATGTCTGGTGTCCTATTCTTGGAGGTGCCTGCAGCTGCCCTGTGACCCCAGCTCATCTCAGAGCCCAGCCCTTCACTTCCGGCTCGGCAGAGGAGCATTCCAGGGTTAGTTTGGTGAAGACGTCTTGTTCCCAGCTGTCTATAGCAAGCCTTCTGGAATGTGTCCGGGTGTCCATCAGCCTAACAGTGCTGAGCATTCACCTTGTCAGTCTCTGTTACCACACTCGTCAGCGCCCCACACCCCGTGCTGACTCACCCAGGACTCGTGCAAACCATTGACATCACTACTCTGAGGCTTCCACCAAACAGGTGGTCGGCAGCTCTTCAGGCAAGAGTCATGTTTCCATGGCTGCTAACCATTCATCCTGTGTCAGAAATTTGCCTCATCTTGTCAGTTGGCCGAGGACATACCATCTCAGCACTGATTACACTTTCCCACTCCACCCGCACCTCATTCCTCATCCACATTCCTCAGTCCAATCTTGTTCCATATCAGGAGATATGAGTATATTCCACCCTCATCTTAAAATTGCCATCTCAGTGTGACTCAGCTGATCCTGACAAAGCACTGAGAACTACTCCTCGGAGCCACAGAATCCTAACCAGTGAGGGTTGCTGAGGATCCTGAGATCACCGTCATCAGCTCTCTCCTCGCTCCCAGAGGCACAACTACGGCACAGAGAAGTCAACTGACTTGTCGAAGATTTTACAGAAAATATTGCCTCTAGGTGGTACAAAGACATGTAGATTAGCATCCAAGAGGTAGAGGGATTATGAGTTCAATGAGCACTAATTGCACATTTTGGAGTTTCCTCCTACAGAAAGCAAGCAGCTGTCCTGTATCTGCACTGAAGAGAAGATATCGGCAGGAAGGACAGGTTCTTTTTTTTTAGTATTTATTTTTTTAAGAGAGGGGAATGGTAGGAGAGAAACAATGATGTGTGAGAGAAGAGAAGCATCAATTGGCTGTTTTCTGTGCGCACCCAGACCAGGGACCAAACTTGCAACCCAGGTCTGGCTGGGTATCAAACCCACAACCTTCTGGTTTGTGGG